ACGACATAAAATGCTATTAGTCTTTTAACATGCTATGGAATGGCATAAACATATAATGTTTCTTGCAAGAAAGGCTAAAATAATCAATTGACACAAACTTATTGAAAATTTAATTGAACTTTCCTTAAGTTTAATGATTGCTTTATGCAACTGCTTCTTAAAATAATTAAATGTCATGTCATTATTCCCATTCACATTTCTTTTAATTACCTCAAGGTATAAAATTAGGATACATCCATTGAAAATTTTTGGGGTTCATTTTGGATCCCTATGTTCTTATTTCACCTTTGTAGTATTGTATAATGTTGAGCTTGTAGAGGATAAAGCTTGTAAAGGCTACTTTCAGCTTTAACTTTTCCTTTTCCCTTAGATCGTTCAAGTTGGAAACTTGGATTAGCTTTGCTACATTTTCAATATAGACAGGGTTAACATAATTCTGAAAGTTCTCCTGATTTAATGTAGGAGGCATTCTCCGATATCCTGCAAGGAATATGAATTGTTATGTAGAAATGCCTTGGGTGGATTGGACCTGATATGAGCCATAGTCGATAGGTTAGAAAAGGTTAAAATGTCCTATGATAGATGGTCTTATGGATTGACATCTTTTTGCATAACTTTTCCCATATTCAACTTGTTCAAAGCTTTTAGAATTTTATTAAACTTTCTTTTGAACTCTTTTTAGGCCATATTTATTTTTTCAAAGCGATTTACATTCTCTTACTCCATTCATCTAGTTTGGGCTTGCATATTATACTATGGTGAGTAAGTTGAACCAGATTTTTAGACAATCAAGCTATCCCTGAACCTTGTATACCAGAATTAGCATGCTCATATTATTAAGTGTTTATATAACTTAATTTGCTTAAGAATCTTATATACATGAATGAATGAATGAATGCATTAAATCTTGATACATAGCTAGCAAATTATGATGCATAAATGCATGAATATATGCATAACATGAAGGGATAAATGAATGCATGTACAAATATTTGCCATATTATGATGCATGGGTGAATGCATATGATGATGCATTAAAATCTAATATATAACAACTTAACAATAGATAAAAGACTAAATAAAATTTCTCAACCTTTTCATAAGGTTGATACAAGTGAAACTTGAGAAGTCCACTCATATGTCCTAACTAGGATTATATTATAATGATGGCTAGATATGGCTCTAACCTAAGGTTAGCTTTTTATGTTTGATTACATGTGGTTTGGATTCACAATCTAAGAGATCCCAAATTGTTTCTCATGTCTTTATCTATGATAGATTAGTAAGGCACCTCAATTCTTGTTCATCATAGGCTACAAACGAAAATATTTGAATTTGGGTGGAAGCATTTTTCTAGCCACTACGGAGGTATTAAAATCTTATAAAAGCTAGGTATTCTACTTCCTCCTAAAAAGATGAAGTTCAAGTATAAAGCTCATGTTATACACATGTACATGAATGACATAATAAATACTCTTTAAATAAAAAAAAAATATTCTTAAAAAAATCAAATTTATTAGACTTTGGATAACACAAATTTATTTAATAACTTGACTATTGATTGTCCCCAATAGGTCACCAAACTGTTATAATGCACAAGTTCATGAACTTGACTTGCCTAAAACTTTTTAGGCTCAAGTTTTTTCTATGATTGTTGTGTCTCTTATTGCTAAATGCTGGATTATTTATAGGGATATTACTCTAACTTGATAAGTATTCTAAATTAAATAGGGATAAAACTCTTGAAAATTATATATTATCACCAAAGAAAAAAAATCCTTAAAAGAATTATAATTTATCTTCAAAAATCCTTACTCAAATTTAACTCTAAAGCATGAATAATCATCTAAAGATAAAATCCCCTTTATTTCCCAATCTCTTTCACCATTTTGTGATTTTCAAAATCTTTCTTTTTTTTTTTAACTTTGCTTTTTATCATTTAAAAAAAAAAGATAAATCCATAACTAAAGATAAATCAATAAGTAAAGATAAATCTATAAAGATAAACAAATAAAAATAAAATGAAATAAAAGTAAAAAGATAAATAAAAGTAAAAGAAAATAAAGATAAAGTAAATAAAAAAGTAAACAATGATAAATACAACTTAAAATTATAAATTAAAGAATAAAGATAAATAAGTGAAATAAAAAATAAAAAATGGGACATCTGGGCTTTGATTTAGATTAAGTTCAATTGATTTAGACCATGGACTAAATAGGTTGTCTACAAAACGTAGTTATTAATATAAAAAAAAATGTATATTTATCAAACAGTGCATTTTTTACATAAAAACATAGTTAAAAATATCTTTAAATATTTTATTATAAATATTATATATATTATTTCGTTTCTATACTAAAAAATGTCATTAATAATGAAAATATCAAATTTATTTTGTTATTTTTAAAATGATCAACTATGTTTCAAATTTTAAAAAACATGGTTCTTATAAGATAAAAAACTAGGATTTATTAAAATTACGTACAGAGAAAATTTTATGTTTATCAAATAATATATTTTTTACTATGTTTTTATATAAAAAACGTAATTAAAAATATCATAAATAATTCATTCTAAATATTATATCAATTATTATGTTTTCATATTAAGAAACATTATTAATATTGAAAATATCCAATTTATTTTGTTATTATTTTAATTGATCAACTACATTTCATATTTAAAAAATATAGTGATTCTAAAAGTAAAAAAAAATTCAAAATCGTAAATTTGTAGTAATCTACTACATTTTTTTAAGCGTCATTTTTATTATATTTAATCTACTATTTATCAAATCGTTGTAGGTGTCCAATTGTGTGGTTATAAATATAATTTTTTGTATCAAAATAGATCTCGATTTATTATATAATTATGTTAATTTTTAATGGTAAAATAGATTGAAAATTTTATTATTTCAAGGAGAGGTTGGTTTATGATATTGGGCTAGTTGGATACTATTAAAAATCTTAAAATGCCCCCATAATCAAATACTGTGAACCAAACTAAAAAATAAAATTTTAAGGAGTAATTTAGCTTTTTCCAAATCAAATGTCCCTTAATGATTAATTAGTTATCTATTAGAATCCCTTGAAGGGTACCTTCACGTGTCAGCTCTGATGAATAACGATCATAACAATTCAAACTTCGTTGTATATCTTTTTTTTTCCCCCTCCAATTGTTGAAAACTCCATGTTTCACGCTGTTCTTGATCCTGGTATCGTCAATATGGACCAAAGGAGAGTATTTCGTCTTAAAAATTCGCAAACTAAATTAACTGATTTTATTTGAAATAATGGATCAAATTGATCAATTGAATTAAAAGTATTAATCGAAATAATAACTTAAATTTACCGATTCAATCATGTTAATTGGTTTTCATTGTTAAAAAATACATTATTTATATTACTATACAAAAATATTTGATATTTATATTATATATTATATAAAATAAACGATATATTATATTATATATTATTTTAAAATATTATATAACTTATATCATATGTAGAGTAGAGATTTACTTACGTAATATAAAGCTTTTTTAATTTTATATTTTTTTTTAATCTTTAATTTTAATGAATCAAAATGATAAGAGAAACGAGTAAAAATAAAAAAATAATTTAATTTAATTTTTTACATTTATTAAAATCAATGATTAAAAAATTATATAAAATTAAAAAAATTTTATACTATATAAATTGATTTTGTCTCTTATATTTATATTATACAATACATTTAAAGATTAATAGGATCCGTTAATTCGACTTATAAAGTAATCAAATTTGAATAACGATTAACCAAATTAATTAACTAAATTGTTTTTACTAATATCAAAATAAAATAAATTGAATCGAATTAATATCTTTTGGTCAATTTCAATCAATTGTATGGATTCCAAATGACTAAACGATTAGTGCTCATCTCTAATACTTGCATTTATATTTCACTTACATTCACATTTGAGTTATTTCTTCCAGTCAACTTTAAAAAAAAAAAAAGAAAAAAAGCTTGTGGTCATTTCAAGACATCTTTAGCCTTTAGTCATTTTAATATTTTTATATATATAAACAAATGTTAAAAAAATGCTAATAAGTAGGGAAAATGTAATAAAAATTTTCACTTTGCTCTACAATTTGGCAATTCATAAGTTGAAATCAAGTAGTAAACACTAAACATAACCGATGCTTAAACATTGGTTAGAGGGATTGGGCTATTTACATGGATTTAAATTGAGCTTTTATTCGGATTCACATAAAGTTCAGTTTTAGACATTGGACACTTACTCGGCTCACATTTCCTCAACCTCAACTGAAAAAAGTTGGCCTCAGACCCAACCCCAGATAAAAAGACGAATTAAAACGCGCCGTTTCTACTTCCCACACGACGCCTGGTTGCTCTCTTGTTGTTTGTTGTTTCATTTCGGAAAATAAACCAAAACTCTTAGGTTTGGATAAATATTAATAAAAGAAAGAAAAGGAAAGAAAAGTGAAAGCAAAATTTTTAAAGAAAAAAAGATATATGTATCTTTTATTTGAATAATTAAAATTAATAAAAAAATTTTAATAATTATTATTTAGATAAAAAATAAAAAAATAATTTATTATAATAATTTTTAATTATAATTTTTTATTATTTGTGATTTTATAATATTCTTAAATTATGATATATTTATTATCTTATTTGATTTCATAATTATTATTATATCAATTATTTTTATATTAAAAAAAATACATGAAACTTACTTTAAAAAAATGACTTTAAAAAAATTATAAAAAAATTATGATGTGATTAATTTTTTTATTAATTTTTTAATATTAATAAAAATATAGATATAATAATTTTTTTATAAAAATAAAAAATTTTAACCTTTCTTTTCTTAATTTTTTTTTTCCAAATAAAAGTATTAAAAAAAATAAAAAAATTAAAAATGATTGAATTTTTTTTTTTTTAAATTAAAAATTTATTCAAAGAGTTTTTCTGTTACAAGTAGTTTTCTTTATTTTCCTTTCCTTTTCTTCCCTTCCCTTAATTAATTCAAACATAGTGAAAATCAGAACATCAGAGATGCCGCTAAAGACAGAAAAAGAGCCTCTTAACGTCGTAGACATAGCCAGTAGCGACGAAGAAGGCGGCGCCAAAACTGTCGCCACAAAGAAAGTTTCCTCAATCACAGCACAACCAACGCCATTGCAAATTTCCGGACTTGAAACGTCGCAGGGCTCAGAAGCCATCATGCCGCCGCTTCTACCCTTCAATGAAACCCTAGAGTCTCGAAGCTTCTGGAAGGCCGGGAATTATGCCGTTGGCCCCACCTCCAAACCGGCTCTGCTTCAAGGTTCGCCTTCTCATTTTGGATGCCTTAGTAGTTGTCTATCGAGCTTTTTTTTTTTTTTTTAATTTTTTTCAATTTTAAGGTTCATTGGAGCATGCGCGTGTTCATCCCAAGTTTCTTCATTCAAATGCCACGTCGCATAAGTGGGCGTTTGGAGGTAACGTGAAATTCCACTAGCTGAGTTGTGGAATTTACCTTTTGTTTATGCATGGATTTTTGGGATTTATAGTGTTTTTCCCTTAAATTTCAGCAATTGCTGAGCTAATGGACAATGCTGTGGACGAGGTTAGCTTTAGTCTAAATTATTTTTTAGTTAATCCTTAATCCCTCGGATGAATTAGTTTTGAACTGTCATTTTTTACCCGTTTGTTTTTATAGATTCACCACGGTGCAACTTTTATAAAGGTTGATAAAATTGATGTAATGAAGGATAATTCTCCAGGTCCAGCTTTACTTTTTCAAGGTATAATAATATTATTTTGATCTGCTATTTTCACTTCTAGAATGAAGGTGGTTTATGATGTAAAATCTGTAACTTCTTGCTTACTTTGCAGATGATGGTGGAGGAATGGATCCTGAATTGATTCGAAAATGTATGAGCTTGGGTTATTCTTCGAAGAAGTCAAATACAACGATTGGACAATGTAATTCTTATTATTTATCTTGTTTTATCAGTTTTTTCCTTGACCCGACGATTTGATTAATTGCATTTTTTTCAGTATGTTCATCCTCAATATTGTAGTTATTCTCCTGAAATGATGGCTGATAGAAAGACCTCGATTTATGTTCTACATGACTCCAAATATTCATTTATGTTGATTTTGGCATGCTAATGTTTTTGCAGATGGCAATGGATTCAAGACAAGCACCATGCGATTAGGTGCTGATGTTATTGTTTTTAGTCGTTCAACTAGTGCAAGGTATTACATTCTCTGCAGTGATACACATAGATTCCCAGTTGAAGATGTTAGACCCACTCTAAAGGGAATTTGTCCTTCATTTTTTTTTTTTTTTTTGCTTTATAGGATATGTTATCTACCTCTAATTGGTACTTTTGAATGCATGGGATTTGAAAAGTTCTTTCTTTGCTTCTATTTTTGCCATAGAGACTTTAGGCTTTTAGTTGCTGAAGTAAATATGCATATCTCTGCAACAGATGTTGCCTCTTTCATGTCTCCATATATCTGTTTTACTGTTCAGATGGTACTTCCTTAGGCAGACAGGCAAAGCCTTACTGATTTTAGAATTTTTATTATAGGGAAACCCGTTACAATCAGAAAAAATTTAGTAAAAAATGCTATTGGTTTCTTTTATTTATTTGATTTAAGTTGCTCTGCCCCCTCCATTCTAAATGCTTCTTCTGATTCTGGTTCTTACTTAAAACTGGTAAATACTAAATGTTCTGTGACCTTTTTTTATCTCCGGATATGTCCTTAGCAAAGCAACTCAGAGCGTGGGACTTCTATCTTACACCTTTCTATGCAGAACTGGACAGGATGATGTCATTGTTCCAATGGTAATTCATTGTATCAGTATTTGGGGGTTTATTTTTTTCTCATCCCTTTAGGGAGTTAGATTTGAGGATTTAGATTAATTCCTAATGTCCATTGTCAACTGCTTTCTTGTTTCGCTTCTGTTTGCAGATTGATTTTGACATTTCTGGTCATTGGGCAGAGCCAATAATTTACAGCTCACAGGATGATTGGTCTTCAAACTTGAAGACTATCTTGGAATGGTCTCCCTTTTCATCAAAGGAGGAGCTGATGCTACAGGTTTGGCAGCTATGTTTTATAAAGTAAAGTGTGGATTTTGTTTTATTAGGCCTGTTCAGGGTACTGCCATGATTCACCCTGTTGAATGTCTAAATTACATGCATAACATGTTCAAAGTTCAATATTATTTGGCATTAAGGTGAGACTCTTAATCAGGAAGGAATTAGAATTACAAAGGCCATTCTGATACTTATGCATTTACCTCCTTAGCAAATTATTCGAATGCCTTCCTTCCAAACTGCAAATAAAGTTAGCATAGCCATAGAGTACTAGAAGAGAGGCTAAATTGCACTAATCTAGCAGTATGTGTGCATTTTTTTTTCTAACAAGACTTTTACTCCTCACATTTCCAGTTTGATGATATTGGACCTCATGGAACAAAAATAGTAATATACAATTTATGGCTGAATGATGAAGGCATATATGAACTGGCTTTTGATGATGATGATGAGGTAAGAGCTTGGTGCTGTAAACTATAATATGTATGTAAGATTGTTCTTGTGGTATACTTTGGGTATTATATTTTGAGAAGGCACATAATCCAGCATTCCTGTGTTTGTGCTCAGACCTAGGCATTTGAAAGCTTTTTGATAACCCTGTCATTACTGTATTTATGAGGTAGATGTATACATATGTTTATATTTAATAGATAAAAGAAGTTTAACCTTAAGGTGTTTACTATTTTCCTCTGTTCTTTTTCAAAAGGACATACGACTGAGAGATGAAGCTCTTCATGGAGCTACAAAATTACACAAAAAGACTGTTGAACTTCAATCCCATATTTCTTACCGCATCCGGTATTCATTGAGGGTAACATGTCAATTTTGGACCTTTTTTAGTTTGGTTTCAACTGCTTGATACCACATACTTGAATCAGAGCTAATAACTTGTCTCTCTGCCTAGGCATATGCTTCAATTCTGTACCTCAGAAAATTTAATAACTTCGAAATCATATTAAAAGGGAAACCCGTCCAGCAGTTCAACATTGCTGATGAGTTGAAGTATCCTAAGGTTGTAACATACAAGCCCCAAGTAGCTGCTGGACCAAAAGAGGTAAGAGATAAGTTGCTAAGATATCTTCTGTTGCGTGTGAGATAAATTCCTTTTCCCACTTCTTTGTTTCCCCTTAAATGTCATCCTTTTTGAAACTTGTTCTTCCCCTGCTGCTGACAGTTGTATTCTAGTCTTCTTAGTACTTTTTCACGCTTCTATTCTCTGCTAGCTTTAGATTCAAGGTTTTGACCTTCAAATTTAATTTTATTATTGCTACTTTAGAGGTATATTTACTTTGGAAACTTATGGAGTTCTTCTAATGTAGTGGTCAGTGGCAACTACAATTGGATTTATAAAAGAGGCCCCTTCTCTTGGAGTTTCAGGATTTAACGTGTACCATAAAAATCGCCTTATCAGGGTATATTTTAATACTACTCAATTGAACTTTTCATTTGTGATTTTTTATGCTCTGACAGTCTGATAGTGGATCAGTATTAATGCCTGTATGAACTCAAGGTTGTAAACTTCGAGTGTTTATGAAACTTAAGGTTTTAAACTTTTGAGTGTTGGTGGAACTTTAATAGCGACAATAATGCAACTAATTTCAGTGAGCTCATGTTTGCTTGAAAGTTTGATAACTTGGAAATTTAAAGCTATTTGGAGGACTTACTGCCAATTATATGATAAGTTCTACATGTTCTGAAAAATATTGACATACTTGATATGATACTGATCTGGCAAGTCTGTGCACATTGATGCAGCCCTTCTGGAAAGTGACCAGTGATGGCTCTTCAAAAGGGAATGGTGTTGTTGGTAATATGCTTTTTCTCTAGATTTTTCTTGTTAGGTATTCTCTCACTTTCTGTTATTTATGGCTGCGTTCCTTATATTGTAGGTGTTCTTGAAGCAGACTTTATAGAACCAGCACATGACAAGCAGGATTTTGAGAGGTCATCACTTTTTGTCCGGCTGGAAACTAGACTAAAACAGATGGTTTACGATTACTGGTTTGTTGCTTATCATACATTCCTTCTAGATTGTTATTCAATTTTTACAGTGCAAATGACAATTCTGAGATTTTTGTAAGGGGGGAAAGGGGGTGAGAGGTTGGTATTGACATCTCACTGATAAATTTTTTATTGCAAACTTAGGGGTTCTTGTTGCGTCTCACTGAGAGCCAATTCTTGTATATATGGTATTTTAAAGACTGAGCACACACCTCCTCTCAACTTTCCTTGAGTGCTACTCTTTAATTATGTAGTGGGTGTCTCAGTTTGGTGCAGCTATATGTATGATATATACTTGGCATCATCTTCATGAGCACTTATTTATATTGTTTATGCTCATGATTTGCTGAACTGAGAAGAATATTTCTGCAGAATTTGAATTCTCAAATCCTTGTTCTTAAAACAGCTGGCAGAACAGAGGAAAATGTTTTTCTTCGCAAGACTAGGTTCTGAGGTGTTCTGATTAGTACAGTTGATGAGGCGATTGCATAAGTAGGATAGTTGTTTGACCGCCCTTTTATTCATTTGCAAGCAGTCTTCAAGTACTTAACAGTAGCATGTCTGGAATTTAGTGTCTCTTTAATAGTTCTTCCCTGAAATAGATTGGATTTTCTTTCTAGGCAAAACATCTAAGGTTCCATCTTAGTTTAAACTGTTGCAAGTGATTGAGGAATGACACATAGGAGGAAGCAGGAAACATGGTCCTAAAAGAGATGTACAAGCTCATACTTATAATGCCTGTAGACATAGTTTTCTAATCTGTTTGTTCGCCGTTTTCTTGCCTATGCAAGTGTCACGGTCTTGAAGTGAAGTCAAGAATCTCACATCGGTTAAGTACTAGAATTGGTCTTGAGAGATAAGGGTTCACACCGTCTCCTCCTTGTGAGACGCTTTTTGTAGGACAAAACCGTGAGGCCAGAGGGGTCAAAGCGGACAATACCTCACAAAGGTGTGAACCGTGACAGATAAGTTGATCTGGAATGCCGGATGAGTGCATGCCCAGGTCCTGGAGCCGTGCGGGCCTGAAGGTTGAGTCTTGGCCCATGACAAATAGTATTAGAGCCAGCTCTGAGGGTACTAGCGATGTGCCATCGAGGATGGTGGGCTCTCGTTAGAGTGGGGAGGATGTCATGGTCCTAAAGTGAAGCCAAGAATCTCACATCAGTTGAGTACTAGAGTTGATCTTGGGATATAAGGGTTTACATCGCCTCTTTCTTGTGAGGTATCTTTTGTAGGATAAAACCATGAGATCAAAGGATCAGAGCGGACAATACTTCACAAGGGTGTGTATCATGGCAAGTAGGCTGATCTAGGACGCCGGATGAGTGCATGTCCGGGTCCTGGAGCCCCACAAACCTGAAGGTTGAGTCTTGGCCCGTGACACAAATACATACCTATACAATTGTTGTTGAAATTTAATAATAAGGGAGCCTCAAGTTTTATTGATCACTTTATTTATTTAATCATGATTTTGTGTGCTTCTTGGCTTAAATGGCTTGGGGTTTATTATTCCTATTGTTATTACTTTTTTGACTAGATGGAGTTTCTTCTTGCAAGACAGGAAAAGCCATTGTCACTTGGTTGGCTATCAACCTCCTGGTATGCATGCAGCAAATATGAAGAAGCAATCATCTGCTTATCAGCATAACAGTAGTTCTAATTTGCAAGCAGAAAGTGATGAACAATCTATTCGTATTCCAGCCAATGGCGAGCAGGATTTAAGAAATGAGCAACCAGGTCTTGAAGTTCCTAATGAAGTCATGTCCAAAGATGATGTGGGATCCATATCAATTGATCAATTATGTGAAGAGAACATACTACTTTTCAGAAGGTAAAATTTCACGTTCAAAGTATATGGCGTGTTGGGTGTGTCTATCAATCGTAAATTTATCTTGCATCTATTATTTGGTTGATCCTGATGATATCCTCTGGTGCAGGTGTGAGGAACACAAACAGAAGGAGGCTGAATTGAAACAGACGGTACATATTACTTACAAAAAGTCCTTATGGCTTTAGAAAGGATGAATATTTTCGTGGTTATCCATCGACAACTTTGATAGTACTAAATTGTTTTCATTCTTGGAATACATAGATCGTCGAACTAGAGAAGGAGTTGGAGGATATGAGAAACAAGTGTGCCCAGCTATCTTCACACCTAGAAGCTAAACGGAAACTGAAGGTTATATAAAATAGGGAAAACATTTCTTAACGAACCATTTGTGCAACTAAGCTACTCTTGATGTAAAGCTCATTTTCGTTCCCTTCGATGTATATATAGAGGAACGACTTGCCTTTCAAAGCATTGCCCTGTATGAGTAATTTCGATCCTATGCAGGACTCTATCATGGGGAACAACTTCAATATTATGACATTTAGTATTTTAAAATTATATAATACAGTAATTTGCCTTGTAATTTGTTACTAGAACGTTGGATTTTTAGTTTTAATGAGGATGACTCAAATCTCTCTTCAAGTAAAAAAAAAAAAGAAGAATTATAGATATATATTTTAATTTTCTGAGGCATTAGAATTAGGGTTGGCATCGGGTCGGGTTCGGGGTGGGTTTTGCTCGCCCCGAACCCGACCCGACTTTATCATCAATAAACCCGAACCCGATACTATATAATTAGTACCCGATCCGACTCGATCCGAAATTAATAAAAATATTATTTTTTAAATATAAATATTTAAAAATATCATTATATAAATATATATAAATAAATAATTAAAAAATTAATTAAAAAATAATTTTTTAAATAATATCGGATCGGGTATGCCTAAAACCCAATCCCGATTATTTCCTAACATTACTCGACCCGAAACCCAAAATTCAAAAAAAAAAAAAAAAACCCTACCTTATAGGATCGGGTCGGGTTGGAACCCGCCGGGGTCGGGTTGAATTCCATCCCTGATTAGAATGAGATTTCTTGCAATTCTGTAGAAGAAAAAAAATGAAAAATGGGCTGCATGCAATTAAGAAAAATCACATGGACCAAATATTTGGGTCTTATTGTTTCAATGGGTTTCGGCCCCCATTTTTTCTACTGGCCAGAACCCGAAGATTTAGTTCGGCCCGGTCCAGTCCAAGCTTCGTCTTTCCTAATCCCCAGTTCAGTTGAACCGCCTCAACGTTTCCAGTGTTTGTTTACGTCCGCTGTGCTGACGGCAATTAGCCATTGATCCTTAAACGGAGCAGCGATTCCAACTCGCAGAGCCACCATGAGGAAACGAGATTTAGCTATTCTTATGCTCTCCGCTTTCGCCATATTCTTCTCTCTTCAGGTCCTTTTTATTTCCATTTTTGTTTCTCTTCGCATGCATTTATTTATTTCAGGAACCATAAACCCTAGAAACACCTAGGCTTTCCAATTGCATGCAATAAATTTACTCGAATTTAACTTTTTTTTGTTTTGTATAGCACGAGGGAGATTTCTCGTTTAGAGAAGCGTGGTATCATTTATCCGATGAATATCCGATCAAATACGAAGCTGAACGTCTCCCTCCACCTCTCGTCGCCGATCTAAATGGCGACGGAAAGAAAGAAATCCTCGTCGCCACTCACGATGCCAAAATTCAGGTTATTCATTTCTCTATAAAATAAATTAAGTTATTAAAAAAAGAAAAACGAATTTTATTCGGTATTATAAATTTGATTGAATTTGGAACCTACTAGGTATTGGAGCCTCACGCGCGGCGTGTCGATGAAGGATTCAGTGAAGCGCGTTTGCTGGCAGAAGTGTCCTTGTTGCCTGATAAGATCAGGGTTGCTTCCGGTAGACGTCCGGTGGCCATGGCCACTGGTGTTATAGATCGAACTTATAAGACTGGACAACCTCAGAAACAGGTTCTGGTTGTTGTTACTTCGGGTTGGTCTGTTATGTGTTTCGACCATAATCTCAAAAAGTTATGGGAGAATAATTTGCAGGTTTGTATACTTTGCATTGTTGTATTTGATCTATCTGTAACTTGTTTTCAAATAGTGTTGTTTGTGATTGTCTTGGGTTTTTGTGATGTTGGACAGGAGGATTTTCCACATAACGCGCACCATAGAGAGATAGCAATTTCGATAAGTAATTACACCTTGAGGCATGGGGATTCGGGCTTAGTCATTGTTGGTGGGAGGATGGAAATGCAGCCCCATGTATGTTTGCTAAGCTCTTTTTGTTATATTAGCATTTATTCCTTCTCTGGTTAGTCTTAAAATCTAGTTGTACATTTCTGTTCATCAAGTCTTGGTTCTGAAAACTATTATGTTTCAATTACATAGGAATCAAATTTTTAGTAATTGTTAGCTTCCCAGTGTTTAATATTATCAAGACCTGGATATGTGATGTGTAAAATAGTTTTTTTTTTTTTTTGCTTGACTCCTCTTTGATTAATTAACAAGTTTCATTAACATTTCCAGTTATACCTAGATCCTTTTGAAGAAATTGGGATGGCAGATCGAAGTGCTGAGCAGCATAGAAGAAGTGCGAATGAAAAGGAGGTATGGATGTATCATTGTCCATTGATGTTACACATCTACATGCTTATTTATTATTGATGTTGGAATTTCCATGTTTCTGCAAAGAGATTTAATATAACCCAAGCATATTAAGTCTGCTGCCAAACTCTCCCCCATCTCATGTACTTTCTTCGGTGCTTCCTTCTCCTATGTTCCATTTCTTTGTCTGCTACTTTAAGCTTTTTAAACTTGTCCAACAAATACCTAAAAACTGTCCTTTTGGCTTTTAACCATTTGAACCTGTCAATGTTGGACATAATGTTGTTTTTCTATTTTCTCTGCATTTGAGCTACTTGATGATCACCTACACTTCTATGCACAAAATCTGCAGCATTAGTGATAAGTTGATTTTACTTCTAGTTTCATGATTTGAATACTGATACCATGTATCCTATGTAGGCTTCTGAAAACTCTGGAACTGTGAATTTACGTCATTTTGTTTTTTATGCATTTGATGGACGAAAAGGTGGAGTTCGATGGTCTAGAAAGAATGAGGTACATTTTTTAACCAGGAAAATTTATTTTTAATATTCATGATTATTTTCTGTATTTCATTTTGCAATTCGGCATATCTATCACCATATGTTAAGGTTTGAGAGAATGTATATGCTTATTCATAATTGTTGTCACCTGATTTGCAAGTCTGGTGCTTTTATCAGCTATCTTCTCTGCTACTGGTTATATGATCATTTTTTTGGTTCAGAATGTTGATGAACATTCTTCAGATCCATCACAGCTTGTTCCTCAACATAATTACAAGCTTGATGTGCATGCTCTGAACACTCGTCGTCCTGGTGAGGTATGCTTTAAAGCCATTTGGATTATTATATTTCTCTGAATGTGGTATAACCTTTAAGTGCTTTGGAGGAAAAATATACTAGTAGCTACAATCTTATTTATTAATGGATTCATCATGATTCAAGTGAAAATCACAGGCAGCTGATTTTTCCAGCTTGGCATCTGTTTTCCTAGTTACATTCATCCATGTTTTTGTGAGTCATTTTCACTCACATACAAGTCTTAGTTCACCTGCTATAAAAGCACTCTTTTGCTCTCATATTTCTACATTTTGTTTAACTTCTGACTGATATAACTTGTGGCTATTTGTCTAATTGTGTTGGTATGTTTATTTCTTTTAAAGCACTTCCCCTACTCTGGATGATTCCTGGTGCAATTATCCTTTTCAACTAGTTGAATCTTTCCCAAGTATAAAATTTCTCTGACATGTTGAACTGTAGCTTGAATGCAGGGAATTTAGAGAATCAATCCTTGGAGTTATGCCACATCATTGGGTAAGCTAGTTGTACATGCTAATTATGAACATTTACTCCGTTCTATCTATACTCGAGAATGTAAGGGACTCATGTTACATCTTTTTCACTAGGATAGGAGAGAAGATACATTGTTGAAGTTGTCACATTTCAAGCGTCACAAGAGGAAAACATTGAAAAGAGTACCTGGAAAGGCAACAACCTATCCTTTCCACAAGCCTGAGGAACACCATCCCCCAGGGAAGGATGATTCAAAAAAAATTTCAAACTTGATTGGAAAAGCTGCCAAGTATGCTGGCTCAGCAAAATCTAAGAAGGTAAGTTTGCCAATGGGATATGCATACTTCTGATAAAACCTTCTTTTTGAAGTTCAGAAAAGACTATGGACATGAAGGTTTTTCAGTTATTTGGTAGGTTTCATTTTAGCTGTGATGCTGTGCAACAAGTAGTTCATTGGGAATGGCACCTAAGATTTGTCTTATGCACCTTTTCTCTTTTATCTCTGTTTTTCTTTGTTGCATAGACTTTTTCTACGGCTTTAATGCATCAAACTGCAATATTTTGCTGCTGCACTTAGTCAGTCCTGTGCACTAGTAGACCCAACCCTGTGAGAAACTTATTTACTGAGAAAGATTTTACTTATACTGTATGACCTCTCAATTCTATTTCATATCAGTTCGTCTTTTGTGGCTTCCAGATGTACCATAAACTTTATAAGATATGTTTATCAAGTATGATTTTAATGATTAGTTTATCTTTTTTACCTCGATTAACTATCTGTGCTGCATGTGTAATAGTACGAAGGATAAAGCCCATACATGGAAATTTATCTTATAAATGCCTTTAATTATCTTTTTTTAACATTTTTTATGCAGCCAATGGCTTATATTCCCACCATAACAAACTACACACAGCTCTGGTGGGTTCCTAACGTTGTTGTGGCCCATCAAAAGGAAGGGATAGAAGCTGTTCATTTGGCATCTGGTCGAACTGTATGCAAGGTGACCTTAGAGGCTTAGACCCACACTCTATGCTTTTAGATATAAGAAATCGTGGGATTGGTGAAATCTGCTGAATTAGTATGGCATTTGTTTGTCTAAATTTCTTTCACTAGCTATTAATTGGAAAAGCTAGTTTTGCAACCTGAAGAAGTCTGGCCTTCTCTTGATGTTATCTTCAGCTTTTGTTATATTTTTTCTTCTCTCATGAAGTATGCATAACAATTGTCAAATTGGCCTACTGTTAGCTTTTAAATACAATATGTTCTTGCAATATATCAGGACTGTATATTGCCTAACATATTTGAGGTGTTTTTTTATTGATTTCTTCAGCTTCATCTTCAAGAAGGCGGCCTTCATGCTGATATCAATGGAGACGGAGTCCTGGATCATGTGCAGGTGCAGATTGTTCTTTTTTTTATTTTTTTTTCTTTTTATATCACCTCGTACCTAATTGTTTTTGTTGTGTGATGCATATTTAATAACAGAGCCTGCTTTAGTACCAACGTGCTAATTACTTCAGATGTTGCCAATTATTTTTGTTCTCCCCAGGCTGTTGGAGGAAATGGTGCTGAGCAGACTGTTGTTAGTGGATCAATGGAGGTGCTGCGACCTTGTTGGGCTGTGGCGACCTCCGGCGTACCAGTTCGAGAGCAACTGTTTAATGCTTCAATATGTCATCAT